TTGTAAATCTCAAATTGTTCTTTGACTCGCTAATAGTGAGTAAAAAGCTGGCTGAGGCAGTAGGCATTTGAGATTTATAAATTCTAAAATTTCCTTTTAAGCCTAACCCTTCGGTACTTAATTGATATAGCGACCGAAAGAATTTTAGGATTTTACCTAATTCTTTTGTATACTACATAGCGAACAAAAGAATTTTAAAATTTTAGTTAATTTAAGATTTTAGTTAATTCTTTTATTTACGACCTAGCGAACGAAAGAATTTTAAAATTTTAATTAATTTAAAATTTTAGTTAATTCTTTTATTTACGACCTAGCGTACGAAAGAATTTTAAAATTTTAGTTAATTTTTTTATTTACTATATGGCAAACGAAAGAATTTGTAGGTACTGGATTTTTTTGTTTACTATATAGCGAACGAAAGAATTTTAAGATTTTAGTTAATTTAAGATTTTAGTTAATTCTTTTGTTTACGACTTAGCGAACAAAAGAATTTTAAGATTTTAGTTAATTTAAGATTTTAGTTAATTCTTTTGTTTACGACTTAGCGTATAAAAGAATTTTAAAATTTTAGTTAATTCTTTTATTTATTATATAGCGAACAAAAGAATTACTAAGATTTTAGTTAATTTTTTTATTTAATATATAGCGACTAAAAGAATCTTAGGATTTTACTTAATTCTTTTATATACTATATAGCGAACAAAAGAATTTTAAGATTTTAGTTAATTCTTTTATTTAATATATAGCGACCGAAAGAATTACTAAGATTTTAGTTAATTCTTTTATTTACTATATAGCGAACAAAAGAATTTGTGGGTACTAGATTCTTTTGTTTATTATATAGCGAACGAAAGAATTTTAAGATTTTAGTTAATTCTTTTATTTAATATATAGCGACCGAAAGAATTACTAAGATTTTAGTTAATTCTTTTATTTACTATATAGCGAACAAAAGAATTTGTGGGTACTAGATTCTTTTGTTTATTATATAGCGAACGAAAGAATTTTAAGATTTTAGTTAATTTAAGATTTTAGTTAATTTTTTTGTTTACGACCTGGCGAACGAAAGAATTTTAAGATTTTAGTTAATTTAAAATTTTGGTTAATTCTTTTGGTTATTACTTGACGGCCGAAAGAATTTTAAGATTTCGGTTAATTCTTTTGTTTAATATATAGTGACCGAAAGAATTACTAAGATTTTAGTTAATTCTTTTATTTAATATATAGCGACTAAAAGAATTACTAAGATTTTAGTTAATTTTTTTAGTTATTACTTAACGGCCGAAACGTTTTTTAAAATTTACTTACTTAACGGACGAAAGAATGTTATGAATTTACTTAAACCTTTTAGTTACTACTTAACGATTAAAAGAACTTCGAAATTTTGCCCAATTCTTTTAGTTACTACTTAATAACCTTAACTTTTTAAGATTTTAGCTAATCTTTATAATTAGTATTTAGTAAATAAGATATTTATAAGGTTTTGTTTTAAAATATCTAATACTATATTTATAAGCTTATTATTATTATAACTATATTAATTAACTTTATTATATTTTATCCTATTTATATATAATAGCTAGGAAGGGTGTCGGGGTTATAAAACTATTTAACTTTATATATATTTTTATTTATATTAAAAAGGGGGGAGTTACTTTAGACAATCTGTTTTTTTAAAGGAAATGTAATATTATAGTTAAAGGGGATTTCTAATTTAATAAAACGTAGTTATAGCTACTTAGCTTTTCGTAGCCCGACTATATCTTATATAATACTAATAATATAATTATTAGGATTTATACTCGCAAGCGTTTTTTATTATAACGCGTACCTCGCTCTTATTTTTAATTTTTAAAAAATAATAATTATTTTTTATACGTTATGACGCCCGTAATAATATAAATAAAATATACGTCGTTATGTTTTAGTAAAACATTTTTTATTAATCTTTAAAGTTTTTTTAATAGTAAGTGCTTTTTATAACTTATATTCTATTTATTTTAACTTTATTTTAAGTTTAATCGCTTTTAAGTTTAATTAATTAGAATTGCGTTACGTTACGTTAGGCTATTATTTTTGTAAGTTAACTTAATTTTGTTAGTTACTATATAATGGACAAAAGAATATAGTAAGTTTATATAATTCTTTTAGTTACTATGCGATGGACAGAAGAATATTATGAGTTTGCTCGATACTTTTAGTTATTACGTAACGGATAAAAGAATTTTAAGATTTTAGTTAATTCTTTTATTTATTATATAGCGACCGAAAGAATTATTAAGATTTTAGTTAATTTTTTTATTTATTATATAGCATACGAAAGAATTTGTAAATACTGGATTTTTTTATTTACGACCTCGCGTACAAAAGAATTTGTAGGTATTAAATTCTTTTATTTACGACCTAGTAAACGAAAGAATTTGTAGGTACTAGATTCTTTTATTTACGACCTGGCGAACAAAAGAATTTTAAGATTTTAGTTAATTTAAGATTTTAGTTAATTTAAGATTTTAGTTAATTTAAGATTTTAGTTAATTTAAGATTTTAGTTAATTTAAGATTTTAGTTAATTCTTTTGTTTACTATATAGCGACCGAAAGAATTACTAAGATTCTGGTTAATTCTTTTATTTATTATATAGCGTATAAAAGAATTTATAGATATTAGATTTTTTTGTTTACGACCTTATGTACGAAAGAATTTATAGGTACTAGATTCTTTTATTTATAACCTCGCGCATAAAAAAATTTATAGGTACTCAATTCTTTTATTTACGACCTAGTAAACAAAAGAATTTTAAAATTTTAGTTAATTCTTTTATTTATTATATAGTAACTAAAAGAATTACTAAGAATTTAGTTAATTCTTTTAGTTATTACTTATTAAATAAAAGATCTTTTTATTATTACTTCTTAAATAAAAGAATTTCTTAAGTTTTATTTAATTCTTTTAGTAATTACTTAATAGCTAAAAAAATTCCGTAAACTTATTTACTTATTTTTATTTATATTAAATTATTAAAGAACTTTTATTTTATAATATTAGGTAGCCATGGTAGTGAAGTAATATTAAGTAGCTATAGTAGTAGAGTAATATTAAGTAGCTACGGTAGTAAAGTAATATTTGGTAGCCACGGTAGTAAAGTAATATTTATTAACTACGGTAGTAAAGTAATATTATATTTTATAACTAAAACAAAATAACTTATTTAAATATATTAAAAAGTAATAACTAAGTAGTTATAATATAATAATACTTTTATAAATTTCTTACTTTTTTAAAATATACCGTATTTTAAAGTAAAAAGTATGCGAAATTCTTAAAATTTCCTAAACCTAAGCCTATTTAGCCTACTTGATAAATTTTAAGGAGTTTAGTAATTATACGCGCGCTGTAGATTTTTTATAGCTATAAATCCTACTTATTACTTATAATTTTTTATAATTATAAAAAATCGTACTATTATTATACTTATACCTATACTTACGTACCCCCGCACCTTAGTAAGTAAAAAAAGAGAACTTAAAAACCCCTAAGTACGTATTTTAATAAAATACGATATTTACGCTTACCTAAAACTATATATACCTAGGACTTACTACTTAATAAAGCTGAGGCGGCTGCTGCCGAAGGGGTCTCTATTATCAGCGGACTGATTATTCGTATTTGGATAATTGAGGCTGTTTTCCAGGCAACTTCTAGCCTTTTTCAACCTCAGAGCGTTTTGATCTTTCTAAGCCGCATTAAATACGACAGAAACCACTGTCCGAACGGTCTTTTTGGCGAATTGCATCGTAGGTGGAGCAATTCTGTGAATACTGTACTGAATGGCGTCCAAGACATCCATATCCCGTTCGTTGTTCTCCTGCACAAGAACCTTGAGCGAGTCAAGTTTTGACTTGGAAAGCTCCATCATCGTCTGTAAGACAGCCTCAGCCACAACAGCTCGCTTGAAAACCAGGCAAGTAGTGTGTTCCTGACCGCTAGCGACGGGCGAATAATAATAAGGGTGGACTTGATCAGTGCCTTCACGAACCAATAGTGTGGCCACTTCATCGATTGCTTTCTGGGCTCTGCATTGAAGGAATGAACCGTCAAAATCGATACCTTTGATGATGAGTTGCCTGAAGCTTCCTAAAAAGTCTTCTTCGCTGACCAGAAACCGAGTTGGTGAGAGCAGTCCACCAATAAAGTCAGGATGGTAATTGGGGCTCGGGCGCGAATTCAACATTGTGATGATCCCCAGACTTTCACGAGGAATCTGATCGAAAGACTCATGAATGGATGCGCCTTCACAATTTTGAACACGACTGAGCTGACGATGTGCTAGGTTCAGTCCATATTCCGTTAGGTAGGGATGGGCAACCTTAGCAAGAGAGCTCAGCTGCGGACTCAACGCTCGATACTTGATGTCGATAATATCAAATATATCAGCGACTTCGGTAGAATATTCGAGTTTCAACAGAGCTTGAAGCGCTGCCTCCGCTAGAACCGCGCGTTCGATGGCGCCCGCATTGATAGCGCTCTCAACAGCCTGGAACGGGCCGTCGACCATGCTGCAAAATTCGACTCCCCCAACGGCTGAAAGAATGCTGCCAGCAACAATTCCCACAACGCCGCCCAGCGGACCAAGCAAAGGAGGGCCGTCCCAAAGTGGTCTTTCAGCAGAATCAGAGAAAAGCCTCAGAACATCACAAACTCCTTCGCCGTCACGTTGCAGCGGTCCGTTGGTTTCCAATCCACTGGATAGAGAATTATGGTCCATGCCTGATGGTTTGGTCTTGTCAGAACGGAACATACTTTGGGACATACTCAGAAACCCACCAGGACTATGTCGCAAGAACTCGCTGTTCGTTAGTCGCGAATCTGGCAATTCGGTACCTGAGCATAAAGGAAGGGCGTTCTTTGTGGAAAAGAGGTTAACTTCGTTGGTGCGATTGCCAAGATAGTAGCCGCTCAAGTTGTTAATATAGTAGCTGCCAGGCCTACCGTTGTAGTTATTGAGGTTGCCTCTATAGTTACTGCCAGGGTTGCTGTGGTAGGCAATGAAGTTGCCGCCGTAATTACTGCCAGTGTTACCATGGTAGGCATTGAAGTTGCCGCCGTAATTAATGCCAAGGCTATCGTGGTATGTATTGAAATTGCTGTCGTGGTTCCTACCAGGGTTACCGTGGGATGTATTGAAGTTGCCACCGTGGCTGCTGCCAGGGTTACCGTGATAGTCGTTGAAGTTGCCGCCGTAGCTGTTGCCAGAGTTACGATAGTAGTTGTCAAAGTCGCCGCCGTAGCTGTTGTTGATGCCTGCTATCTTTCTGAAGTCCCTAGCCTTGTCATTGCTCATCTGGTCTCTCAATCTGATTGTACGGATAACGTCGTTGCGCCTGGACCTATGATCATCGTTTCTTCCGTGACTTTCGCTATAACCCTGGTCATTGCATCCGCCGTTGTGGCAATTTGCGTCGTCCATGGTGCACGTATCTTCTCTGTGGTCATCTTTGTATCCCGCTACGCCGCTATTGTAATGATTGAAATGTTGATCGTACTCGTTTTCGCGGATGTGGAGCTTGATCCGGCTCTTATCAACGTTGGGTTCGCTGACGTTTCTGCCGTTCTTCTTAGCACCGTCACTAGTACAAAAGCCGATTCCATGGCAATTATGGATGGCGTCAATAGCGCCGCGCCTGACACTGTGGACTTGCAATTTGCGAGTCCGTGCAGCAGGATTGACGTTGACGAACTTGATGCCAAATCGGTGTGGATATGGAAAGTGGCCGCTGTCAAAGAGGGAGATGAAAGCAACGTAGTTGATACCATAATCGCCACCGATCGAAGTACCTGAGTTCTTCTGGGCATGGCCGCCGCCATAGCAATGAGTCCCAATAGAAACGAATCCTCCATCATTGGTAGCTTGAAGGATTGGTGCTCCAGACTGACCTGTTGCTAATTGTCAGTGTCGTATCAAAGTTAAGTAGGACTAAGGGTGACCCTGCTCACCAGAAAATGTAGAGATATGATATTCGATCATTTTGCGCTTACTGTCTTGGATGCTGTAGTTGACGCGAGTGAATTCTTCGTACATCTGCGCACCCTCCTCGTCATCATCTCCGCTGGGATGTTGAGAATGCTTATCGCCAGGATAACCGACGACACCGAGCCGTAATCCGATGCCGTTAGTAGGGGTGTCTTGGAAAGGGATTGTTCTAAGATTTCCTGTAAAGGGGCGGTTCAACTTCAAGAAGGCGACATCATGTGCGCGTTTGTTGTTGCCATTGACCCAGTGCGCTATGGTCACCACGTGTTCTCCAAACCTGCCTTGTACTTTCGATGTGCCAACAGAAGCAAGGCCAGAGTAGCCGATGAAGCATTTGACCTCGATAGCTGCCTGCCAGCGATTCCTCCAGTCGTAAACAACGTGTCCTGCGGTTACGACGGTGTCTGGGCTAACCAGCCAACCTGTGCCCATCATCCAGATGGTTTGATCATTGCCACTATTGAATCGAGCTTGAATCTTGACGATTGCTGAAAAGCTCAGTATTATTCAACGTTGTCATGGTGCTGCTGTACAACTTACAGCGAAACTTGCCGCCATCAGCAAAGTCTTGGGGTTCGACGAGGCGACGCTTGTCCTTGCCAAACACCGATTCCATACCAATGGTACCATCGTCGGGTAGGATGGCCGAATCTGCCGGAAGTTCAGGCGTCGAGGACTGCAAAGTCCATATAGCGGCACGGGAGAGCAGGTGGTGAGCCATGTCTACCTTCTTTTTCCCAATATGAAACTTTGATAGCCCAGAGTGAACGACCGTGAAGTAAGGAGCGGTCGAAATTAATTATAATGATGAGGAAACGATGCGCACGGCTGCGACTGTCGCTACACTTTGGCGTACTGACGATGGAAATTTCTGCCTTCGAACTTTGTCGCTTCTGTTCATGCATATGTTACATGGCTTATGCTGTCTATGCTTGCAGATAGTCGCTTATATGTACCTCTTTGGGTTCCCACGGGAATGTCTTGTCACATGTGATAGGAAGCGGGAGGCTAGCGACGCATTCGGGGAAATAAGTGTCTTGCTCTTGCCCATGGTACATTCAGGATTCATGTATGTAGCATTCAACACTTCTATTCCTACCGAACTAACGCCACTCCAGATTCTCACCTGACATAATGTCTCTGCCTCATAAACTTTTGGGAGGCATGCAAAATTTGACTGACTTGAGCCAGAGAGACATGCTTGTAGATGAAATTATAACACGAAGAATGTCATCCTGATGTTGATGAAAATGGATCATTGGTTGATGTGACACTGTGAATGCCTGGTTGGTATGCACACGAGGCAGAAGGGAGGGGTCGATGGATATTACCTCCAAGCTGATGCGGTTGAGACAGAGCCGGTACATCACTAGCTACACAATCATAACCCCCTGCCTTTGAACAAGACATCAATAAGATCAGCGAAGTATCACCAATCACTACTGATTCAGAGTAAAAATTTGCAATGGAAAGTCGTATTGAAGGGCTGTTGGCAAATGGCCATAGCCTTGAGGCCACAAATTGCAGGCATTGAAATTCGTCATTCAACCAGGAGGCTTGGAGATTGAGCTGAAATACGTCTTTGCCACGGTTTTTGATTGTATGGCTTGCAGTGCTAGTAACCCAAAAAAATTTTTCTCTCTGGTACCATGGCTTTTTCTTGAGTGCCATTGAATCATGGGGGACTCTGGCCTTGGTCTGTCGGATCTCACCAACCCCCTTGCGATGTGATAGCGCATCAATCTGCATCCAGGGCTGCGTATTACAGCTGGATGGCGGCGAAGTACATCGTCTCAGTTCGGAATTCATATAGAACCAAACGTAGTATGACTTATCGTATCGCCTTCTGGTTTCCCTCTTCCTTGTCTTCCAGTTCCTCGCTGATGTGCTCAAAGTCTTTGCATATGGCGCATCGGCCCAGAGAGTACGTCCACCTTCGTGCAGCCGGATTCATTAACAACGGGCCCAGAACGAAAAACCTCTCCTACATCACGCCTGGAGTCTGAGTTTTACAAATCTGTCGAGCTTCAAAAATTCCTAGCCTACAAACTGGAAAGCTTGCCAGTCAAATCCTATGATCTGACCACCTCATGGATAACGATGAAGACGAATTTACCAACGGCAACTTGCGATCCATACGATCCACTCCTCGCATGTCTTCCACAGACTCACAACATTCTTCGAATAGTACATACAGAGTACGGGCAGACTGCGAAAATAAAGAATGGAACATCGAGTTACCTCAGACATTGGGTAGTTTTCCCACCAACATTCGTCAAGTTTGAGTTAGCCAAGCAGCATTGCAGCCAAGCAGCATTGCGGTGCGGAAAGAAGTCCTTGTCAGGTGGGACTTGCACACAGGGGTCTTTCTCGAAAGATTGCTATGGTATCTAATCTCTTAGATACGAATGTGAAACGTAAATTGGCCAGTCCAAGACCAGTGTACATAAGATACACTATCACACTCCATGGGTTTACGAGTTGAAAATGCTTGACGTCGCATAATACACATTACAAAAACCATATAAGTCACTGATCAGTGTAAATCAACCAATATTCCCTACTACGACTTCCAGGACTTTATTTCAAACCTCGACTCCCGCATAGGTGAGTAGAGAGATCTGGTTGGTAATCGTTCCATCCTCTCGAAGAGCCTCTCGCGAAACGGGTCCATTAACGTGGATATCAGAAGATCAACCAACACAATGCAAGTCTCTGCGACTTTTGGTTGAAATTTCTGCATTCGTTCAATGTGGTGAGACCATCGCATTCATGCCCGTCACTAAACACGCAATGCAAGAATATTTCGATGAGAGGCTATGGTTGTAAGGACAACGCATCAAAACGTGAAGGGGGTGACATCACGCTGTGAATATTTTGCATCAAGAGATACTTGCCCTCCATGTCTAGGTAGAAACCTGCCATGAATAAAGATGTTCGATCACTCCTGCCTACCTCCACGAAGTCCAAGTCTTCAAGACAAGGAATTTGAGTTGGAAATATGGAGGCTATGTGATCATAGGAGGTAATCTTGTTCTCAGGCGGGCACAGTCCCGCAACAATTACGATGCATCTTTCTATTTTTTCCAGATATTTCCAACTAAGGGCGTGATCATGCGTCCTCCCCAGCGTGAAAGGGTTCTCCTAATCCAATACCGATGTCTAAAGTACCTGATACTCTTGTACTAAAACCTTTACCCTGACAATCGAGTACTGTAATACATTTGTCAGTAAAATGTTTCACTCCAGGCATGGGTTTCAGCCAACACCACCCAGCCCATCCTGATATGAGAATTTAGGGTCAATGACACGCAACCAGCGTTCAGCCCGCCACCAGTGTTCAGCTCGATGCCAGCATTCCCACCGCCACCAGCGTTCAGCCCGCCACCAGTGTTCAGCTCGACGCCAGCGTTCAGCCTGCCACCAGTATGAATTTGGTGCTGTTTTACAGCTGCAGAGCTGTCGCCACACGCTTCAGTTGAATGCGCCCAGCAGCATTCGTTGCCCCGCTGTAAGTCATATCTGATAGGCGAACGTATTTGACTGTTAATCCATCGATATAGGTCAGACTGGCTGGATGGGTCCTTGGTAGCTCAATGGTAAGCCGTTTCTGACCCTGTCCTCTTACTGTTGTTCCACTTCCTGCCCTTCCCTTACTATTGTCCATTTCTGGCCTTCTCGGATTCTGGCTCTGTTAACGCCTGGGCTTTGAGTACTTGCCGGCCACGGAGGTAAGCTGCTAAGCCATATAAGCCACGGCTCCACACCACCACTATAAAAGATGTTATGTATGAAATTCCGCAAAACCCATTACGCCTTACACTACACAAATCAAGGGAACACGCTAGAGAAAAAGGACTTGGTTAGGGGAAAAGGGAAGATTTTTAACATTTATTAATTTAAAGAATTATTCGGCATTATTAAGTTGATCGCTATTGAAAAGCTCTAAATTATGCTCTATAATACTAATACGATCTACCGTATAGCTATCTATACAAGATTTATACATAAAGCAATACTTTTTTAAGGAATAACCCTATCCTAGGCTAATCCTTAGAAGCTTAATCAATATTATCCCAGCTCCAGGTAGTATTGAAAATATCACTGTTTATCTGCTCCTCTAGGGCCATGATGCCTGAACCATTATAACCAATACCAACCAGCCCCAAGTCTAAATCCGCTGCATCCTGAGCTGTCGCTTCCATCTCAAAGTTATCTCCGACAAGTAGCTGCTCGATGGACTCCAAAGGGGAGAACGACTCTAAAAGATTCGCCTCTGTGGTTTCCTCGCCTGCCGGGAAAGTCGCGTCAAAACCACCAATATCTCCAGTTCGGCTCGATTGATTCATCATTCGCTGCTCGTCCGCCGACAAGTCTACTTGTGCCAGCATGGTTGTGAGAATAGTCCACGTCGCGCTCCCCATCCTATTCAAGTTCTTTAACTTCTCCAATATATATAGCGCACATCCAAGCGCCTGAATCGCTCTCAGTCTGTGCGGAATCCATGTTCGGCTCGTATCACGAAGAAGAGCGGAGCATAAAGTCGATGCAGTGTCGAACGGACAGAATTGCACTAAGAAGTACTTGGAGTGGATTGGGTGGCAGAGGGTAAAGAACTCTTTGCTGATGCGCATGAGATGGATCGCCACTTGAATCGCCGCTTCGCGGAGACTACTTGCCTCGGTGTCTCTGCAATTCGGATGAGGAGGGCTCAATAAATATCGTCGTAAGTACGCCAACAAAGCCATGTATCCCATACAATGTAACTTGATCCTGCGAAACTTGTTCGCAAAGAGATCGCCGTCGCCGATCGCACCGCTCCTGATGGTGCTGTATACAGTTGGCAGGCCACGGATCCAATCATTGACGAATTGAATCTTGGCATGCGGGCTGTTCGCATCGCTCAGAGGGTCAGACAGAAATGCCCAGAGTCGATACTCGCGAATGATGATTGCTGCCGCAGATGTCTCCTCGCTTACGCTGTCTGCAAGTTCGAAACGGGGGTTTGGTGGGGGGACTTGGCCGAATTCTTGTATGATGCGTGGTCTGCCGAACGAGCCGGAGAAAGTCCTGAGCAGGTTACAGTTGTGGTGAGAATGGTCTTGGGGTCATCGAAATATGACAGCAGAGTACTTACGTGTCCCAGATGTTTAATATGTACCACATCCTCCGTCTCACTTCTCGTTCACACGTCGAGATTTCCTGCGCCGCGCTGTCGATATGTAGACCGATCTCCTGTGCTTCCCGGACGGCTGAACATATCAAATGCCACGATCTGGTAACCTCGACCCGATTCTTCAACCACCCGCCAGCAAGAAACAATCGCTGTATGAGCGGCAATCCACCCTCACCGGGTGGTATGAAAGTGCTTAAGCGTTGCGCAGCCTCATGCATACGCATCCCAAGGTGGTCGACCGACTCTCCCAGTTCGGATTCCAGTTTCTGATCCGCGGAAGGCCAAACGAATTGCGTGCCCAGAGCACACATTTGCAGTACTAGACTGGTAAGCGCTACGTCAGACATGGCTTTCGACGCTCGTCTCCCCCACCATGTTGCATAATCTGCGACGAAGGTGGTTTGGTGGATGGCTTCGTAGTGGTAGTTAACGTGGCTGAAGTAAACTGATATGAGGATATCTGTGTATGGTCGGGGAGGCACAGCTCGGAGCGCTTCCTGTATCTCTAGCGGAAAGTCCTTCGAGATGACGGGACTGGGGGAGTGGCTACTCGGAATGATGCTTGCAAAAAGATTGCTGTCCGTATAGCCTAGAGCTTTCAAGGCAGCTGGAATCTCGATGTTGCCAGGGTTGTCAGGATCATTTGATTCAATGCATGCTGGCTTCGATATGTGACATCTGGGCACTCCAGAGTTTGGGGAACCACTCTGCGATCCTGGTTCTCCATTGCCCGTAAGCGGCCTACCGATTCGAGATCATCTCAGCACGGCACACTAACAACACATCAGAAACAATTACTCACCTTTTTGAGGATGCCGAGATCCCCTTTTCAAGATTGTCAAACTGGCACTGGTGTGCTACCCGCCTTGCGAGACAGTGATTACAAGGCCATTGTCGGTCGCATTTCCGCTTGAGCTTCCGGCATTGCAGACAAGCCGAAGCGACTCTGCCGCCTCGCCGAGCTTTGGCGCCTTGAAACCCCCGCTCTCCTGGCGACGAAAGCATTTTAGGATTTGTCTTCGTCAGCGGCGCCAGGTTCCAAAGTTGTGAAGTGTGGTAGGTAGGATGATGTTAGAAAAGCAATCCCGCAAAACTGCGGGGTTAAGATATAGCGTTCAGTCTGCGATAAGCACGGACACCTAGATAAATAGAGAACTATGGGGCAATGTAGCGAGCTTTACGTCATATGTACAACTTTCATCCGCAATGGAGCGGGCAATACGCTCGTAGACGGACGACCCGACTAACTATGGCCAGGGAGCGTGGAGTGTTCTCCAAATTCTGGCAATACAAAAACTGGCATACGTGCCATTCCAAGGGCACTGATTCCTGTGATAGTAGTCCCGGATGACATTTTCATCTGACATTCACGCCCAGCCGCTTTCTGGGTTCTGTCCTCCCTCGAACAGTCGAACATGTACTCCTCTAAGCTCACCTGGCTCGTCACAGGCGCCAACTCTGGCCTGGGGCTTTGCATAGTCCAACAAGCGCTCCGCCAGGGACACACCGTCATTGCCACAGCCCGATCTCTCGCCAAGTTTCCCGAGAGCCTTCGAGATGCTCAGAACGCTCATCTTTTCGAGCTCGAAGCCACTAGCTCGGCGTTCATCATAACGAAATTCGTCGACGACCTCATCTCCCGCTTCGGCCATATCGACGTTCTCGTCAACAATGCAGGCTACGGCCTCTTCGGCGCGGTCGAATCGTTGACCGAACAGGAAATCCGACGCCAATTCGAGGTGAATTTCTTCGGTGTGCTCAACCTCACCAAGGCAATCCTGCCGCATATGCGCCAACGTTGTAGCGGTACTATTTTGCAGATGTCGAGTTGTTCGGGCATTTTCAATATTGAGGGATCGCCTGTTTATACAGCGAGCAAACATGCCTTGGAGGGACTGAGCGAGGGCCTCGCTCAGGAAGTCAAGAAGTTCGGGATTAGGGTTCATCTTATCGAGCCGGGATACTTCCGAACGGGGTTTGTGACTTCGGCCCTAGAGACGAGGAAGGAGGGGAGCTGGATGACGGAGGACGGGTACATCGATATGAAGGCATATATTACTGACGCAGATGGGTCACAGCCTGGTGATCCTGTCAAAGCTGCTGAAAGGATCTTCGAGCTGGCGTCTTTAACGGGGATGGCGAAGGGATTGCAAGATGAAGTCAGACTAGTTCTCGGCTCGGATTGTCTAGACATGTTGGAGAAGAAAATTAAGCAGTATGAAAAGACTGTTCAGACGATGAGGGAAATTGCGCCGTCGACGGATTACTAGCTATCATACCGGGGAGATAATTGCATTAGCAACGCAACGTCATTGCCAAACAGCGTAAATATATCTTAAGACAGCCAGCATGGGCCGCAGAAGAATGGTGGACTGCTCCGAGAATGACAACGTTGGAAAAGTAATAACAATAGGAGAAAGTGGACGTCTACAGATGAAGTCGATTATTCATAGCTACGGCAAACTACCTATATGTATCCTACCAGTTGCGGTATGCCATCGATACATCGGGGTTGGTCTTCTCTTACAGCTGAACTTTCCAATTAAGTAGATTATATAGGCGTAAGACAAAATAATACCTAACTTATTATTTCCCCTTAGAAAAGGTACGTCTCTATGTGCCGACAATATGCCGTAACGAATAGGATACTATGTAGTTTGGCAATGCTCATTAAAATAGTGCTGGCGCGCTGCGCAATAGTAATCGCTTGTTGTGATTGTCGTCCGGCCATCCAAATCGCCTGCCTGCTTTAAAACGAACTTCGGCGTTTGCAGCGTAATACGTAGCATTGTGATCATGCGGGCCAAGGCCGATGACAGGCGTTTAAGAAACATTTATTTTAGTGATAGCTACCTTAGTTATGAACGAGAGGGTCTCAAGGTGCTTATGCTTTTTCCATTGAAGGAAGTCCAATTATGCTTTTAGTTATGTTGGGGAACCTATTTTAAATGTTTTAAAATGGCTCCTGGGCTCGAGGAAGAACTACCTATCTGGGTGCAAGCAAATACTTCCCTGCGAGGGGACAACCTATGAGCCATTGCCTTATCATGCGGGGTAAGGGGAGTTAACTCCGCATTCCAGGGGTCACATCCGGCTTTGCGTGTCTTGGGCCTCGCAAAGTGGATTAAAAAGCAATAACCCTGGCTTCTATCCTAGGCAGTTGTTTGGTCGTACTTGAGATCTCGGCTAATCGTCAGGTTTAGCAGGCTCGTCCCATAGCGGTGTAGCGGCAGCACATCGGGTGATTGCATCAGCCCAGAGGCACTTGGGTAGGTAGAAATATTAGGGAGTTCTCAAAGAAACGCTCGACGGTCTAGCATCGCACATGCCTCGCTCCCAAAATGTGGCTTTTTGCAACTTTGTCGACTTTGCTGTACGCCTTCACGCCTGGAATAGGAGTGGCGGCCATCGCTCAATCGCCACCAATTTTCCCATCACGTGAGTTTACCACGTCACTCCCAATCCAGCAACGGCAGCCTGCTAACATGGTCCCGAACAGCGCTGGGTCAAGGAAAGGGCATATGGAAGAACGCATATGAGCGTGCATCCAATTTAGTCAGCCAGCTGACCCTTGAAGAGAAGGTCAACATCACACGTGGCTATGCGGGTGATAATACTTGTGCGGGTAACACCGGATCCATTCCTCGTCTTGGGTGGCCAGGCTTTTGCCTCCACGATGCTGGGAATGGTATTCGAGCGACAGACCTAGTCAACTCGTACCCGTCGGCCATACATGTAGGCGCAAGCTGGGACAGAAACTTGACCTACCAACGCGGCTATTACATGGGGAAAGAATTCAAAAGTAAAGGAGGTATGTCCCCCAGGTTCAATGTTGCTGATAGTTTCGTCATTAACTGGTTTTCAAGTCAACGTTCTGCTAGGGCCCAATGCCGGTCCTCTGGGTCGTACTCCACTAGGCGGGCGGAACTGGGAGGGCTTCTCGGTCGACCCATATTTGGCCGGACAGCTAAATGCTGAGACCATCATTGGGCATCAGGAAGCTGGTGTGATCGCTAATCTAAAGGTTGGCTGTCAAGGAGGCTTGCTCACTATACTATGTCTACAATTCACGATGGACTAATGTGTGCCGGCAGCATTTCATCGGAAACGAGCAAGAGACTTTCAGAAGGCCATACTTTGGCGTGGAGGCGGCATCATCTAATATTGATGATAAAACTCTACACGAATTCTATCTTTGGCCATTTGTCGATGGGGTCAAAGCGGGAGCGGCATCCATTATGTGCTCATACAACAGGATTAACAACACATACGGTTGTGAGAACAGTAAACTATTGAACGGGATTCTAAAGACAGAAATGCAATTCGAAGGGTTTGTTCTTCTCGACTGGAACGCAAAGCATACACTAGAAAGTGCCAATGCTGGTCTAGATATGGTCATGCCCCTTGGGGGGAATTGGGGCTCGAATCTCACAAGGGCAGTCAGTAACGGAACCGTGAATGAATTAAGGGTAGACGACATGGCCACAAGGTATCTTACCAACATGCCATTCCCACAACTTGGAGATTACGTGTGGCTGACGTTCGTCAAGAATTCTGGCAGCTTGGTATCTTGTTGGTCAAGACAACGACTTCCCAATTCCTGGCATTGGCATGAAAAATCTGACTGAGCCGCACGATCAAATCGACGCCCGTGATCCTAAGGCGAGGCCAACAATACTCAGTGGAGCTCTTGCGGGCCACGTGTTAGTGAAGAACGAAAATAATTCACTACCTTTCAGCGGGGCCCCGAAGATCATGTTTATATTTGGATATGATGCAACAGTACCTTCGACGAAGAATACAGACAAACTTTTTGAGCTTGGATACTACTCCTCCCCAGAGATGGCTCAGGCTGTACTGGGAACAGAGAGGCATTTTGACCAGGCAGCCAAGGGGGGAACCATTGTCAGTGGGGGGCGTGCTGCAGCCAATGCGCCTTCATACCTACTCGATGTAAGCACCATACTCTCCCAGGTGAGTGTTTTTGGGCTGACGGGGCTCTAGCCTTTGAGTTCGCTACAACATAAAGCCGCAATAGATGGCACTTGGGTCAATTGGGATCTGGTGTCTGGAGATCCCGATGTCAATGCTGCTAGTGACGTTTGCCTGGTTTTCATCAACGCCATGGCAACCGAAGGATGGGATCGAGATGGCTTGCACGACGATTTCAGTGATGGCCTCGTCTTGAATGTAGCTAATAAGTGCGCCAACACAATTGTGGTCGTTCATACAGCCGGCATTCGCCTGGTCGATCAGTGGATCGATCACCCAAATGTTACGGCTACAGTCATCGCCCATCTTCCGGGTCAAGACAGTGGGTCAGCCCTTGTCAAGCTCTTGTATGGTGAGGCTTCATTCTCTGGGAAGCTCCCGTATACTTTGGCGCGAAACGAAAGCGATTATTCAGTGTACGCACCTTGTGGGAGGCAGGTCAACACCACCAGTCCCCAGTGTGATTTCACTGAAGGCGTGTTCGTCGACTATCGCGCCTTCGACGAAAGAGGCATCGAGCCAAGATTTGAATTTGGCTTTGGCTTGACATACACAGAATTCACCTACTCTTCCCTACTGGTCAAGACGCAGAATGTCTTGATAGGCGCCGCATCAAATAGCAATGCCTTTTGGGAGGTGATACTGAATGTTGAGGCATCATTCAACAACACTGGCAGTCATGCTGGCGAGGAAGTTGTGCAGTTATACGTCGCAATCCCCAACAGCCCCCCGAAACAGCTTCGAGGCTTTGATAAGGTGCCATTGGAGATAGGAGACAGCGCCACCGTTCAATTTGAGCTTACACGAAGAGACCTCAGCATTTGGGACGTTGTGGCTCAAGCTTGGACGCTTCAAGGTGGCAATTATACCATTTTTGTAGGAGCAAGCAGCCGAAATCTGCCTCTTCAATCCTCCTTCACATTGTGATTGAGTGGAACATAGCATAAGGTACGTTAAGATTGAGCCAATAATAGCGGATCTCACGAATCACTCTCAGATCCTACGACTGAGTCGCTATCGTCAAACATTATTGACGATTTTAACAAAGTTCTGTATCTCCGGCCAATCACTGACCTCGACTTGCGAAAGTCAGCTGAGACACTCACTCTTCGTAGTCGACTGATGTATTGCATGTGGTTTGGACTGGAATGGCCTCAATGTTCTGGGGACAAAGGCGGGGACACGATCGCTAGCTGAACGTATGTCTGGGCGATAGACAGAACTTATCGTGATTAACATGCGCAATGAGATATGAAAGGGGTGTTCAAAGCCCGGTGCGTATTTCCTGACATGCTTGGGGTAATTGAACTGGCTGAGTGTCAGACACCAGAGATATTGAAAAGTCCCCTCAATGCAACTAAGCTTTTAGTGGGATGCTTAACACCGGAAAACTATCTGCCTGATTTGACACACAATCAAAGATCAGGCAGTCCAGCTGCGTGCGCACACCCGTGGCACGCCACGTACATTTTACTGGCTCGGATGGTATCCTCAACAGTGAAGCGGGCCAAGGCGAGGCGAGCAAAGATGGTGCAAATTAAGGGGGATACGGGGCCTAATTCGGCTGAGCTTCTGCAGCCGAAGGCAAAACATGAAAAGTTTGTAAAACGGATGACTTATGGACAACAATCAGACCAACTCCGATCCGGGACATCTGTGGATGCAAACAGGTACCTAAGCGGTCATTTAGTCAGGTTCTGACGATCAAGTCATTTTGCCCAGAGCCTCTCTGTTGTACCGGGCGCCTGGCTTATCGAAAGATACTTCCCTAGCATAGATCTTCCTACTGTCTCTTGACTTCAGCGAATTGGCAGTTTGTCCGCCATTGAGCTGTTCATACTCCCATACTGAAGCCCACACTCTACATTTTGATATGAGAAGACGAGATAAACGGTTCTTCGGCTTTTATGTTAGTGTAAATGTACCTACCTATGTGAGCATATCTGACTAGGTCCGTTCAGAACGAGTTGAACCCCACCAATTTTACTAGGGAGATAGCGAAGTACTGTTTGAATAAGGGTTACTTTCAGTTAGGCAAACTTCAATTCCAAGAGATGATGTGAATACCCAAAGATTGTCGAAGACCTTGCAATTATTTGCCTTGGAATCCGACATCCCTCCAGGCTCAGTAGAGCCTAGGCCCTGAACGCCAATTCCTGGTGTACCGCGTGTGACATTGTCTAAGCGGCCTGTTACTTGCATCAATTTTTGAAGCCGGCCTCGTGAATTCGCGGCTTCCAATAGGTCGCAGTTTACTGAGAGGGTGTAAGGCATGCATCTCCTGCCAACATAGCCTGCAGGTATAGTGAGAATAACGCGGGGTATTCCCCGTAATACGCGCCATTGGGAACGAATGCATGATTACTGCATGCGGACTGCATTCGCCAACAACAAATACAATGCATATAAACTACGTACGATTATTGGGCTCATGATGTCCCACGGCACCTGATTGACGAATGGCTTTCCAGGGCAACCAATCGCTGCGCAGTTCGGTGTGAAAATGTCGCGAGAGCTTGCTGCGCTTCAACGTGGCACCCACAACAACGGAATCGATAGGTGTGCTCAAGCTCGACCTGAGCCTTCTTAGGGACGAAATTTAGAGCCCAACGACAGAAAATAAGGAAAATTATCGAGGAGGGAATATAAGATGTCATATTTGCGAGTAGTCATCATCGCGCCGTAACTCAGGAGCAAGATTATTAAAAGCCCGTCGTGTCATCGTGCCTTCGAACTCTATCTTCCTACCTCCCTCACTCGATCCAGTAGAATCTCCATTAGCTATGGACACAACCGGATGGTCCCCAGCCTCGCCGCTTGATCAGCCGGGCAATCACAACCTAGAGGCCTTTGTGGGACATGCACAGGAAGTAGGTCCCGAGGTGTCGTAAGTTTACTCCGATATCATACATTGGGATCTGGCGTCTTTGGCTAACGACTCTTCAAAGGCCATACGCAAGTCCGACATGCAATGTCTACTTCGAGAGTGGCCAGCCCTTTCGGGTGCCTAGCAACCTTCTTTGTCAAGAACTCGAGAACATACGTCTTCGAAGCCATGGCGAAATACGATTGAAGCATATACCAGATGATGCAGGCCATGTACTCATCCACTTTCTCCATACGGGATCATGGCAAACCTTGCGGGCCAAAGATTCCAGCGACACACCGAAGAATGCCAGTTATCTTGGAACCAGTCTATATGTTTATGCCGCTTCGCAGGCATACAAGATTCCACTGCTAGCCGAGCTTGCCAAAGAACACATTTCCCTCTCCGCTGAGACTTTACCTGCCCTGGAGGTTCTTTCTCTAGCTTCAGATGCTTGTCACTCTCTCGGAGAAGATGACACATGGTTCTCAGCATTCATTAAGCGACGTATCCGTCACCTATTCGAAGACTCATCTTCGTTGAACAAAGCCGGTCTCTTAGGGTGTTTCGACAACGCAACAACATACTCTAAGCTGTTAGTAAAGAGCTTGATCGAAATTTGCTGCGATTACTCGATTTCCGTCAATCCAAGCGAGTCTCAGCCGTCGCCTCGGATTGGACCCACGGTCACGTCCAAGCCAGTTCCTGTTCCTTGGTCGGAGACAGCTGAGCCAGAAGTGGACCTGAGCGGCGAATTGACCCTGGAATCAGCCCTGGGAAACAGTCTGACATCCACCTCGAAGAAAGACAAGAAGAAGAAGAAGAAGGCTAAAAAGTTGGACGAGACCCTTGCTGAGTCTGACGTGGCGAGTCCCAGAGATGCTGCAGAGTACGTGACCAACGGCCGGCATTGAATAGTTGATAGGCGGTCAAGATATCAAATTGAAGTGCATCGTTACCAGATTTAGAGTCTTTGTCTGAACCTCTCTCGTGAAACTCTAATGTCCGTTGATATGTATACTCAGCTACCCTAACGGCCATGGCGGGTCAGTGCAAAACATCGAGTCTACACGTATGGTAAATGCTAAAGAGTAAAATATACATGATTATATGAGTCTGTTAACTTCACTGCTGAACATACTACTAGCAGACTAATTTGGCGGAATGGTATCAATTGCAAGTGATGTTACTTCTTTGCTACAATAATGACAGGCATTATCACACGTCGTGATCATCGTTCCGGACATGAAGCTTCTTTAAACAGAAAAATCCACCATCGCCTTGCATTCGCACCTCAAATGAATACGAGAGACACTCTGAGATGTATGGCCTATGTTTGGTCTTCCGGATGGAAAACAAGAGCTCGAACCTCTATGCTTTCTCTTGGTGGTGCATCCGAGCTTGCCGTTGGATCAACGAAAGCAGTGTGGGGGACTCTCCTAGCTCTTCCGTCCGTCTTGCTGTCGAAGCACTTAATGAGAATTACTTCGTTCGGTGTGAGACCATCTTTATAGTACCACTTGTGAGCGTTGCTATGTCTCACTGCGTATGTCTCTCCTCGCCGATCAGGGTAAATCAGTCCGGTTACGACTAGATCTGACTCGGCGACAGACCTGGCGTCCGCAATGGCGAGTGGGTCTCGTTGAACTGTTTTGATGGGCCTCCAAACGTTGATGATTTGTACTCGACCTTTGAGCAACTTATCGGCATCATCTGGGAGGTGGTGAGGAACCCGGGAAAGAGCGGCCTTGTAAGATTGGTCAATATGAACTCTTTGCACGGGTCCACGAGCTGCTCGTCCTTGTGCTGCTGTGCCAGGTAGCTGCCGGCGAATAGTATGGTCAAAGATAAAAACGCGACTAGCACCCGTCCTACATATAACTTATTAGCTGAGACGACGGCAAGATAGGATTGGTCCCGTGAAGTCTTTCCAAGGATGCCATACTTACACCGCTTTTAGAAGTTCTTCAACTTCGGCGTAGTAGGACGACCTGATCTGATCATCGTCTTGAAACTGCTTTTCAGTCGACCAGCTGTGATGGATTTGAAACCCATTTATATCGAGAGAAAACTCCTCTTCATCGCCTGTGAGGTCGCTGATCGTCACAGAGTGGGATTCAAATGGCCGGTCATATGTCTCTGGCCTGTCAACATATGTAGGATGCGGAGGCGATCCATCCTCGTTGTCTTTGTGGTAGTTCAGTGTTGCTTCCACTCCCTTACGCCTCTGATTCGACTCGCGCAGATCATTCGCTCCGTGGCGTTGAGTGCGTTGAGGAGAGCCCAGCCCTGCGGAAAAAAGGACTTTCCGAACCTCTACTGCTGCCATGCTCGGTTCTAAGTGGGATTTGTAGTGGTACTGGAGTCATAGGGGTACATCAATACCAGCAATACGGGCAGCTCAAAAGGTGCAGCAAAGCTCCAACTATAAATCATTTTGTACCAGCCATCTGACCTTTACTCTACCCTAATTCCACATGGTCTCCTCTGGCACGCGATATTTGTCCAGTCATGAGCAATTTGTGGATTGATAATCAACCTCAACCGAATCACGTGGTGTGACCATACCCCAGCACCAATTGGTTCAAGGATTGACAGTGAAAGAGATGATATGACACCCATGCGGTTGTGATTTCAAATCCGCATGGGCATCGCCCTAATTAAGCTCGGTCAAACGTGCCTCGGCCCAGGTTATGGTTGCGGAGTAAAATGGTGTCATCGTTGTAATCTTCCGCATTGATAATCACATATCCTTGCCAGTGCGCCTTATCTGCTGTAAAGAGACTCTTAGCCATTGCTTGGGAGAGATACAAGCGGTAGTAATCCTTCGAAAGCGATTTCCAAGCAAACGTTGGAATCGACACTGAATCATAGGTTGAAGTACAATTTGGATGCGCGAAGGAAATAAGATTACGCTTATGTGCCTAAAATTCGGCAACTTACGAAGGTGTGGTTCTTGATCAGTTTCTAAGTATCTATATGGACGAGTTTTGTGATTGTTGTTCCATCACTCAGAATCTCTTCTGTTTCCTCAATCTTATAACCTCCCCAACGCGGCAAAGCGACTGTCCAGACATACCAATACATTACTCCGGCTGTGAGACTGGTAGATAGCAGCATCAGTCTCAAAAGATCTACGGTCTAGTCAGGGGTCTCACTTACATGCTCACACCAATAATTGCATATGTGGCGTAAAACAATCCGTTTGGTGGCTTTGTATCCGGCGGGAAAAAAGGAGCCGCAAGTAATGCTATACTTAGGCCGATTCGTAAGATCACAGCTGGAACAAATGCCTTGAATGGGCGTTTGATATCGGGACGTTTAATGCGAAGCCACAAAAGCCCTACTGCAATGGCCAACGCTAAAATTTGACCAGGATAGCCTTCAACCTCCAGGATAAATGAATAAACATCCCTAGAGGGAGGCAGCGTAATGACCAGAAATGAAGGAATGTAGTGAACAAAGAGCCCGCCTAGAGGTGAGTTGAAGGGCTTTGTAGATGACAGTATGTCCGAAAACGGAAGAAAGCCTTGTCTGGCAATTTCTTGTTTTGTGCGCGCCTAGAGTCATCGTATAAGCACAGTATCCGCAACAAGCTGGCAACACAGAGAGATCCTACCGCAGAAAATGCGACGACGAGAACATTCGCTCCTGCACTCAAAGCAACTGCCAGAGGAAGGATCCTTTTGCCAACTCTCTCACCGAAGATTCGTTCAAAGAATAGGGCCGCTATCAGCTCGCCGCTCTGCTTTATCTCATCGATGGGAACAACGACAAAGTATGCTACATTGATAAGTGCGTAAAGTCCGCACGCAGTAATCAATGCCGCCATCGTCACAGATCGCAAGGTCCGAACTGGGTCTTTGACCTCATTCAGGACGTAATTGGCATTGTCAAGCCCCGCGTATGAATAGAAGACTTTGAAAAGGGATGTAGCAATTACACCCCAATTCCAGTTGGTGTTTTCCCACAGGTCTCCCCATCCAAGCACTCCAGTGATTTTCTGGGCAGATTCTTCCGTTGATCGGAACAAGACAACGTAGAGACCTGAGAATATCATGAAGACAATCAGGGCAACCTTGATCCAACCCAAAACATTTTGCAGCCTGATACCGAAGCGTGGGAAACAACCATGAACCAGGGTAACGAATGTGAGGAGTCCAACTGCAATACCTTTTCGAAGGAGATCACTGGGGTTATCGCCACCCAGTGCAAATAACAGATATTCGCTAAAAACGATGCAATTGCTCGCTGTAAATCCCAGAAGAACGGCTTGGATGGCGATGAGGGTCGATGCTAGGAATCGAGGTCGACGATACGTGAATTCTAGGTACACTTTGTCTCCCCCAGACCGTGGCAGCATCGAGCCAAACTCTAGGGAGATCATCAACCCGCATGCAGCAATTATTGCGCCAACAATCCAAAGCGAAAGTGACAGACCGGGGCTCCCAACTGAGCGAAGAATTGCGCCCGGAGTAGCAAAGATCCCGCTGCCTATCACTCTTGAGATGACAAGAATGTAGGCGCTTTGCCAGGTCAATGTGCGGCCGAGTGTCGATGTCTCTGGAAGCACATCGTCTTCAATTGAGCGTGATGGGTACGTCAGCCCAGTCCCAAAGTCTTCTTCATTCGGCTCATCAATTCTGGTTACGAGCTGCTTGGTATCTGAGCTGCCTGAAGTCGACAAGCGTCGCGGCGTAGATGGGATCAGCGGCTGCAACTCCGGGGCATCGTGGCTACTCATATCGCTGAGTGGTGTCGCTGGATCGATAACGTATGAGAACGCGAGTTGGGGTATTACTGAACTAGGCGGTAAGAGCGCGCAAACCAAATGTAACGGACCCAAGTTGGCAGCCTTCGTGGAACTTCAGTTGGATATATAATGAGTATCAAGATACAACCACCAATGAAGTCAAGCAATAGCGACATATCCTGTTGACATGGTTCGGCTGTCCGGCTTCCCGGTAAAGATACGCGTTTGACAGGGAACCTGGGCGGTGTCATCGGCCTCAGGCGCGTGTCCACGGACAGTGATGCTTGATAAGAATACGGGTACATTCTGTCTTGTGAGGCGTGTCTCTCATGGCGTCATGTGTTTCAAAAGGTAAGTTTCGGTCACAGGCCTCACCCAATGCCCGTCCTGTTCTTAACACGGATTCGCACGCCATCATTGCGCAACCTGACGAAAATTGGGGGCGTGATTATTCAAGATGGCACGTGAAAGGACCCAACCATCATTGCCCCAACTGAAATTTGGCCCCCAATCTGGGTTTCCGGACCCCGGGTGCCCGGCTACGACTCCGCGGTAGCAAACTCCGACACATACATAAACGCAAGATCAATCTCTAGGAATGCAGAGGCCAAAGCGCCCGCGTTTGGTTTAATTAATTCTTATTAAAGTTTCGGCATTGTTACTTGACGTGTATCTGAGATGGATCAGTGAACACTAAGCATCAACCTCCCAGTCATGCCGAGGAACCTCACCTTAACTCGAACTCAGATGCACCAACGAAGAATGTTATTCTTGTTCTTCGCCATAGCTGTGACGCCTATTATAAGTCACTCGGTATACTTTTGTTGTGTCTGATTTCCGATTGCGCCAGCAATGGGTGGTCATCGAAAAGCTTTCTTAGACTGGAGTAACTTTCAGTACTGCTTAGTAAGAGAGCTTAGTACAAATTGCAAAATGATATTGCGTCGGCGCAAGAGGTTGAGCCTCTTCGGCATGTCTCAAGTATCCCCAATGTACGAGAAATCACCTTGCCGATTCGACACACTTGATTTGAAAGCAGCTCTACCAGCTTTTGCACCAGAGCGCTTACTGAATTTTCGATTCATGACGTTCAAAAGCTGCTTCGTATGAAGAGATACCAGGTGGGGACGTCATTTTTCCATGAGAACAACACCTCAACAAGAGGATCATCTACACGATCACTCAGCTCGCACAGCTCTTGAGGGCCTCAGAAAGATAAGAAAATCTCGTAGACCTATGGTTCCACTTAACAAGCAAGAAATCCAAGGTGCGGCTCAGATCTGTGCCGTTACGGGCTAGCCCTGATGGGTCGAATCCGGATTGGCACCCATATTCTGCCGCAGCGGGCCGGCGAAGGATCTATTCCAACGCCCTAGTAAGAACTCGGTTTCTAATATTTTCCTCCTCGCCTTAGATTTCTATACAGACGTTACCGCTTGTTGCTTCACTTGGACTAGGCTCTTGAAATTCTCTAACGAGGCCTATGGAGCCTGGAGACTTGCGGCAACTCCAAGTCATCTGAATGATTCGTATACCAAGTAAGTACCTTACCTTGAGGGCGCACTAAGGGAGGTATCTACAGTTTTAATGGATCGACTCCAAGCTATCCTTCTGAGAGTTAGAGACATCTCATTCGCCGAAATAGAATTCTCCTCCAATTGTTGTGCAAGTGAGAATCCTTGGAAAGACATGAAGCGATTTGAAGGTCGAGATATTCCAGATTCCATTGAATCCGTGTCGAGTGTTTCGTGCACGATACGCGCCCTTTATTTTCGGCTCACCTATTAGGCATTAACCTGCTGCCAACCCTATTCAGCTACCTAACGCTAGAACAAGACTTGAAAATTTGGTAGTCTAGGATTACGGGTACGTACAACGCCCTGCTGCCGCTCGACTCATGGCTATGACAAGGCATGAACACATCAAACAGGGGATAATCACAGCAAGAGGTTGTGTATGGACTAGGACTGAAAGGAATCGTTTTGAAAATAGGTGCATGTGAGGCCTAGTGTGGAGAGAATTTACCTAAGCCGCAACCATCAACCGCCCCTAATTCAGCCCGGTTTTACTAGCACGAAGCCTCGCTGATCCATAGCTTTCAGCCGCGCTTAACTAAAACTCCTTCCACTATTGAGGGGCTACTTTATCTTACAAACTGTGGAGATGCAGGACCTTGGTCCCGCTGCTAACCAGCGCTCGTCAGCACTACCAATCCACAAATCAAGTGCGAAGTACAAACGTGGGGAGTGTGTATTTCGGGAGGGCGACCTCGGCGCCCCTTTCATAATCTTTCTTCGCCGTGTTTTGCCAGTGGCTGGATATGAAGCATGCCAAGACTGTCTTTTAAGCTTCTTACTAGAATAGTCTCGGCTTTTGATTTGAGCCCTATGAACACTAGGGGCCTAAGATCAGGTAAACAAATTTCAAAAAAGGGGGGCCTTCACTTCATAAATGTTGAGGGTCTCCCGTATTTCCTGTTGCCAGATATCCGTGAACTTATTGAATAAGCAAAATGGAGTTTGGTTCTGGTGGTAGCTTGCTTCCTAGCTATCGAAAGCCACTTCCAAGTGAGCAGGTCGAACGTATGACCTCAGATACCCGGCTTCCTCTGGCTTCTCCCTCATCTTCTCCCAGCTTTACGGCTGCTATACATCCTCAAACCCCCATTTTCCCCTCTCAATCTGATCAAGCCTCCCCAGAGCACCACACAATGAAGAATTGGGTAGAAACGAAGGCTTCGCCAGCGGCAGAGGGACATCAGATCCCTGAGAACATCGACGCGCCACCATTGCCTCTGCCACCCACCGTTGTAGCTCAGCACCGGAAACGTCTTGTCTGGTGGGCCGTTCGATACTGTGTAATTGTCGTCGTCATCTTCGTTGCATTTCTTATTCCTCTCCTTACATTGAGCAATGATGCAGACTTAGCCGACGACTCCACTCCACAATCAATCCAGGACAAACAATACCGCAACCTGGTGTTTTACATCAGCTTATGGCTAGAGGTTACCTGGGTGGCAGCCGTTTTCTTCGATCTTCTGGGACTCGGCTTGCCATATCTCTTTAGGTTTCTTGCTAGGTCAGTGCACGAGATACCAAGAAATCTATGGCCAGGCGCTTAAAATGAATCCACCTAGATACATCAACTCTTCCCACCAGAGGTACTGGAGAATCTTGAAGTTCATGCGTCGCCCGATTTGCTTTCTAGGCACGACTATTGTAACCTTTATCTTCTTTGCTGCTGTAAGTCATATTCATTCAAACGCAGTTTCCGTGGCGATTTTAGTAATTGTTGTCATTCTAGTGTATCAACACAAATGAACTCCTTGCTGTAAATGTCAACAAGGATCCGAACACATTTGGGTGGGACGATGTTGTAGCCGACATTTTGGAACAGGCTACTCTTTGGGTGGCCTTCTATTTTGTCGAGAAGCTATTGATATCCTACATCTCCGTACATTATCACTATCGAGCAAATCACTCCAAGCTTACTCGCACGAAAGATCTCCAGAACGCCCTTATCACACTTTACGACGCATCGATATACCTTCACCCTTTCCATCGTGGCACATTCGACGACGAGGATATGATCATCCGCAATGCCAACGGCGGAAGCCATAAACAAGAGCGAATGAGGGTTTCAAGCTACCTTGCTCGACTCGGCCTTGATGGCTACAAGCTTGTTGGACTATTCGGAAATTTTATTTCCGATGACCCTCATGCCCATTGGATGCGTCCAGCAAGTACCTATGCTATCATAGAGCGTGCTTGGGGAAATGAAGACTCGGCGACTGCACTTGCAAGGCGGATCTGGTTTTCGTGTGTTGCTCAAGATAAGTTTGGCTTGACTCTGAATGACATCAAAGAAATCCTTGGTCCCCACCGCACGCCGGAAGCCACCAAAATCTTTGCCACCTTGAGCGAAGGTCAAAACCACGACATCCGCCTTGAGGAGTTCATGGCGATCATTCTGGAAGCAGGCAAAACGCGCCAGGACATATACCGCAACATCAACAACATGGACCATTGCATTAACACTTTCGACTGGTTTTGTCTCTTCATCATTGCCGCGGTCATGATATTTTTCATTAGTAAGTCCCTCAGTTCGTCCCTCAAAAGATGTCTCTGACAACTTGCACAGTGATTGCATACGTACCAGCGATGAAGGAAATTCAGAGTGTCTTATCTTCTTTAGCTATTGGTCTCTCATTCGCTGTTGGTCGGACATTCCATCATCTTCTTGTTGGCATCGTCTTTGTTTTCTTCGACCACCCTTACGATATCGGCGACGTCATCAACATCTGTAACGCTGGCGCAACTATAGGCATTGCCTGTACGGTCAAACGCCAGTCTCTTCTCTACACGGTCTTCAGACGACTTGACAACAACTGCGATTTACAAATCTCCAATGAACAACTCACTCAAAAACGAGTCGAAAACTACACGAGGTCTGGTATCAATCGTCAAGGATTGTCCTTGTTCGTGGACTTCAGGACCAGTTTTACGGATATCATGCGTCTTCGAGGCATACTGGAGGAGTTTCTTGCCCAGAACTCTAGAGACTATGTTCCAGAGACACTAGGGTTGAACGTTGCAAGCCTTCATGAGCTCAACAAAATGGAGCTGAGAATTGCCTTCACCCATCGCAACAACTGGTCAGACGATAAACTCCGCTCTCAGCGGAGCAACAGATTCCACTGTGCTTTGGTATCTGCCTGCCGGTCTATTCCCCTTTACAAGCCAGGTGGTATGTCTCCGTCTTCTGGCGAGAACGGAAATCCCATGTATACCGTTCAGCTGGATACCTCAAATGAGCTACAAGAGAACATCAAGAAGGAACAAGCTCGCCGACATGGCCTAAGGTGGGACCGTGTCGAGCAAGCTATCAATCAGGTCCAAGATCAACAGCATTCCAACGATGCTGGGAATAGAAGGGTTGAAGAGGAGACTAAAACAGACAAGGCAAAAGAACAGGAGGCTTTTCTCAAGTTGGCAAGACTTCCAATTGGGAACGAAAGAATGGGAGCCAGCACCGGTGTAGACTTGCCGGCTTCTGGGACAGGCTTGCGCCAATCGAGCCGGCCTCTCGTTTGATTGTCAGTATAACCGACAGCCTTCTATTCTTAGATCAGCCAGTGACAGTATCCCAGTTGACTCAGTCTTCCTCAGAAATCCCTGCAGGCAAAGTACGCATGCGCGTCGTTCTCCGCTCCTTTGTCTTTCGAGGCGCTCCCTCTCGTCTTAGAGGCTTGTCGCACGAAGCTCACCTTGAAAGCAACACTTGGGCCGGTCACTAGCCTTAGTTAGGGCTTCATCTGCCGCTTCATCCTTTCCTAGTAGCAAATGCATATCTTCGTCAAGCAAATCTTTGTGACTTAAGGTTTTCTCATCATCCTGGTCGTATCGCAGTATAGCGACGAGTGATTTGTACTCGTTTTTCGCGCTGGGAGCTGCAACAGCCTTTACACATCTGACACGTCAGCAACTGGCTCCAAATGATCGCATTACCAGCTTGAATGGACATTACAAAGTCTAACGTCGGTTTCGGGTTGAAGTACTAAAACAAGTCAAACGTCTTTTGTTGACTACGTCATGTAACCTGATGGCATTTCAGTGGCACTTGAACTTCTTCCACGTTTGTACCAAGGTGAGCCGACTGGCTTCGGCGTCTCGCTGTCTGGCTGTTGTTTTGAAGTAAAGCCTTCGAGTCTTCCTGTCTAAGAGAGAGCCTCTATATCATTGATTCTATCATCTTCACGACCATCATGTACGGTTGGCTCGGGTAATTGATCTCCGGGTTCCGCAGGTTCTGTCATTGAAAATTCGGGGTTGGGGGGCAGTCGTTAGGGTTATGCAAACGGGCAGCTGCGCTCAGAGACCATTGGCAGAGTCCATTCCAAATTCTGCTTGAATGAATCTCCGCACCCCAGCTGCAACTAAAGCATCTATGAGGGGTTTCTGGCTGCCTATAGCTAGCGTTGCAACACATGATCACATGATATGATGATGTCTATTCCAAGGAGAGCGGGTTGGAGTGGAGTGAGTCGGAGGAGGTGAGGGCGTCGACTACTTTGATGATGAGATTGAGTGTGGATCAAAGCAGAAGCATTGCCTCCAGGTCGAAATAGGGCTGTGACAATGAATCCAGCGTCAAGAAGTGATTTGAAAATCGAATGATTGTCCGAGATTGCCTGTTGCACCGGCAATCGCAATGTGGAAAGAAGACATTTCGAAATTGATTGCTTTGGGGCCTCTTCGAAATGTACGATGGTAAGTTGAATAGCCAAAAGAATCCTGAGTCTTCTCGCTAATATAGAATTTCGACATTCTTTCATCAATAGATGGAGGCTCATGATGAACACTACTGCCACACTTTTATTGCTTCGTCATTATCAAACCTGTCTCTTCCCGCTTCCATTGGATCGCGGGGTCACTTCTGATATGGGGCTAGCTGTGGATGAAACATCGGTTCTGTCGGCTCCGATGACCGGTACCGAGTTTTCGGTTCCGAGATAATTCAGCGAATGGGCGATCTTCCAGCTTCCGAGTCAAATGACAAACCAAACATTGCTAAATCGAAAACCGATCTCTACCGTGCCAGTAATTCACCGTGTCACTCTATCAAGAAGAAAATCTGCTACCCGCATGTCAAGTGTACTCCTTGATAACGTAACCTTCACTGCTGAAATTGATGGAGATCTCCAGCGAAGGGCGTGCTATTAACAAATTGTGGCAAGAGCTTGATGTTGTTTTCTGGGCGACTGGTTGAGAATAAGTGAATCATCCAAACATAGCTTATTGAAGTGAATTAATTGTCGCCTCCGTAGCATATTACAACCCTCCACCAATATGGCAGAAACCCTTCCTCACAAGCTTTGTGGTATAGTTGATCAAACGAACGAACATGGGCTATAACCCATTGGTATCAACTCGCAGTATTGAGATACGACTTCTCCAACCGAATCAAAAGTTCTCCATAACTCTCCCTCTTTCCTTCCCTCATACTTAACTTTTGTCGTATAATGAGTACATTTAAATGTTCATGTAAGCAGCCATACCACCAAAGAGGGCAGCAGCGCCAACAGCAGCAGTGCGCATGGGGCCGGCCTGAGTGCTGGAGGAGGTGGTTCGGACACCACCACCGTTGTTGGCACCAGTCTCAGTGGCAAGCGGAGCAGTTGAAGTGGGACCGGTGATGCCGCTGGTGAAGGGGTTGCTGCCATCGGTAGCAGTACCAGCGCCAGTGTATGCGGGCGCGCGGGTGGAAGCCGTGGTATCAGGCTCCACGGACGTGTTATTGGGGTTCAAGACGCTGAGGATAGTCAGTGAGAATGTTACAAGTCTGCTTCATTTGCAACAACTTACTTGTCGATGACGTGGACGACACCGTTGGCTACAAGGACATTGGGAATGAGAACCTCAGCCTCGTTGACGTAGACGGTCTCGTTGATGACACGGATGGTGACGTTTCCTCCATTGAGTGTGGTCAATGAAGTGTTCGTGATATCGGGGCTGTACAAGACGGCGCCGGCGACGACGTGGTACTGAAGAATGCTGGGCAGCGCGGCGGTCAGGTTGGCGGTGAGGTTGCCGATGGAGCGGAAGGCTTCGTTGTTGGGGATGAAGATTGTCAGATCCTTTGCGGCGGCAAGAGCGGGGCCGACGTTTGCGGCCTGGACAGCACCCAAAGCAGCAGTGAGGTTGGCAGCGCGAAGGGTGTCAGGAATCGGCTGGGGAACGCTCAGGACCTTGTCGATGATGTGGATGGTACCAGCGGTGAAGTTAACATTGCCGGCCGTGACGGTCGAGTTTTCCCTCAAGGCAGAGTAGAAAGTGACGTTACCGCCAACAGTCTGGGCCTGAACGCGCTGACCGCCGGTGATGTTGGCATAAGTCTCGTTGGACAGCAGGGTGGGGATAAACTGCGGCTCTTCGGTGAACTGGGAGGCGTAGTAGGTGCCGTTCAGGACGTGGTACTGAAGAATCGCGGCGACGAGGCCGGGGTTAGTCGCAGCACCTTGGGCACCGGGGCTTGCTAGGAATGCCTCGAGAGCGGCATTGCTAGGTGCCAGGATGGTGATGTTCTGTGCTTGAGAAAGGGCTTGGACCAGAGCCGGCTGGGTGCCCAGGAGTGCTGTGAAACGTTAGAGGGCCTCATTCGAGTAGAACTGGTGGCCGCTTACCTGTGAGAGACGACAAGCTAGAATTCTGAGAGGCTAGAGCAGCCGTCAAGCTTTGTTGGCTCTGGGCGAGCACAGCGCTGGCCAAAGCCAGAGGGAGAAGATTTTTGACCTGCATGGTAGCTGTTTTGCGTACAGGGAACGGATTCTAGTGATTCGAATGGGTTGGGTATCAAGGCTACAAATAACTCGGACTGCTCGATATTGGAGAACCGAAAGACGGCGGTGGAGGTGGCAGCATTTAAAGTAATGTAAAAGCTCCTCATCGGGAGTTGGCACGAATCATGCAAAACACCTTGGTGAGCTCAGTCCAAGAGTGATCAAACCAATCGCGTCGTCGTGGGTTACCAGATCGCGCCGAATCAAGCTTGTTGCCCAGGCTGGGTGAAGAAACCAGGAGGCCTGCCGGGCTTCTTGTCCCCAGACAAGGGTCTTGGTCGACATCACGACCGCGCCAGGGACTGGGACTTTGGACTGGACCGGGGCAGACACGCAGACCAGGGGGGTGGAGAAGCCTCCTTAGCTCGCAAAAGAGCACGACGCTGGCAGAGGACCAATGAGCTGTTTAACAGGATCGCCAGCTGGGTGCCAAGCCGATCGTGAAGTCGTTTTTGGCCGGCGTATACGCCAAGGGGGGGGGGGGGGGACTTGCACTGGCTCAGCATTAATTGAGACCCGACACCATGGCAAGGCAATGGTCTTGCCAGTACCTTCGTTGCCTTACATAGAAGTCCGAAGATCTTTCAAGAGCCATGGCTAGCAGCTGCAGTCCTAGACTGCTAGCTATGCTTGTGCTAGACGAACCCCGTGATGGTGATCGAGAGGCAATTCCCGTCCGAACATGCGATTCCAAGTCCCATTGCGGTCAGATTAGCATTCTGCCGACTGGTGTTTCACGAAGCTAAGTAGACAACGCGGAATGCTAGGGAACCACCTAGCTGCGAGAAGCTTGGGATATCCGAGTCTGGGACGCCATTGACAGCATGTCGGGTCTTGGAAGTTGCGTAAGCCTGCGCCCGACTGGCACAGCTTGGGTGAGGGGGACTACAGAAAAAAGTCGATGTCGTCAGGATAGGCCGCTTAGCGCCATTGAAGACGGGAGAGACTCCGATGGCGCCGAACAACGAGCCGTGCAATGCTGGAAGGTATTCGTGCTTGGCATGCGTGCCGGCGGGCTGCCAACATGGCAATCCTTGCCTTAAGTCATAGCTACCTTGAACACAGAGTATATCCGTGAGAACCGCGCGAAACCGAGCCTGTAGATGTTCAAGGGTTACGCTCTTTTGCCCGTCTTATGGTTTGGCTTATTGTTACCGTAATCTGCCATTGAACCTAGACTGGGATCATCAAATGTTTTCATCGACGATACCTGGCTAGCACGAGTGTTGTCAAGACGCGACAAAACTCGAATGAGAAGGGGAAGAGATGTTCTGGTTCGTGTAGCATTGCAGCCGCTTTCCCCGCAATAGCCAAAAGGATAGTCGACCCCAATGCAGGGCCAGTCGGGCCATTCCCATTTCCCCCTTGGCTTCGCCCTAAGTAGTGTCTCGTCTCCATGGTGTGCCAGGTGTTGGCGAGGTGCTCCGGTTAAACGCCAAATCCACCGAGACACGTATCCGCGATCGGTTTAGTGCCATGGTGAAAGCGTGGCCAAGCAAGCGGACATGGGTGAAGCTCCTTGGAACCCAAGAGCTCTAAAGGCCGGTTGTGCCGACTCCATCACATTGCGTTATAGCCATTGACGATAGTATCATGAAAACGGTGCGTCATCGATTCACTTGACAGATCGCAATTTTGGCGCTTATTCCATAAAGTGCGCCAATGGCGCATTTCTCTCCCTAGGAACCGTTGCTTGGCAGCTGCACTTTCTCCAGCCATGCATGTCCTTACCCTGCCATCCAGAGTGCAACAGAG